AATATTAAGTAAACTTAAATAAATTTTGTAAAATAAATATTATACTAAGTATTTTTTTTTCAAACAAATACGAAGTCACGAAGAGCAGCTAATACACAGAAACACACTACTACTGAAATATATAAATGGATGAGTGCATTTTCTGTTATAGGATTTTTCAAAGACGTGAAAACGAAACGTGAATCTAGCTTTTAAATCTTTTCTGCACAGATGCACTTAATGCTGTTAAAAAGACGAAGCAACTAGTCACGGTGTTTGAAAAGTTAGTCTTAGAAGCATTATTACTGTAAGAAGATTATATAATTGAGTTTAAAAAAATCTGCAACGACATATTTATTAAAAAAATACTTTTTAAAGGAGTCGCTTTTTTATTTAAGTAAGAAAATAATTATGTTGTTTATTAAACATAAACTCAGGAGTCTTTGATTTGAAATTTCGAGACATAAAACATAGGCAGGCCATTTAGTAATAGTACAGTGCCGTGATCTACCGATTGGATAGTGGAAAGTACATCGTTAAGATACGCGTGGGTGGACAAGTCACCCAAAAGCGTCGACCTCTAGTCGTATGACGAACACTGCGTGCCTAATTGTCACGAATTAACTTTAATCGTCGTTCCGTACTCGGGTTATCTCGCAGGAATGTTTCATACATCATTATCACTGAATGTCTCTTATAAGTCCTACCAAATTATTATCAGCTAAAGTATAGATAGCCATATTACCAATATGTTAACCATCAAAACTAAAGAAGCAAGAATCATCGTACGGTCCTGTTCGAGAGGGACCTATAAAATATCGCTGTCCCTTAGATTTTCGGTTTTCCAGGTTCGACTGTACATGATACCTATAGTATGCTTCTACGAATGCAAGAAAACTACTTTTGTTGAGTTGTTTGGTATTAAAAACCCAAGGTACTGTGTCATATATTGAGAACTGCTTCGATTACCACGGACAAGGTTGAAAACATTAGCTTTACTTCCATGCGGTTGATTAGATATGAACATTAATATCATATTCAGTGAAATACCTTTACAACTTTTGATATTGATAAATAATCACAGATACGTATGCAACACGATACAACCGACAACGTGGAACTATTCTGATAAACATCACAATGCGAAAATATTGTCAGTATTGTGAATAGTCGGTACGCGAAATATTTGAAAAGTTTCAAAAGATCACATTTTTAATAATCGTGTTGCTCATGGAAACGAAACGTTTGATCGTTTTATGTACATTTTTATATTTTTGTTATTTTGACATAACGAAACCATGTCAGCTTATGAAAATCTATAAAGTGATCTGTAAAATTCTGTGAAATACAGAGGTAACATTTTTTTTTGCAATTGACCTGTTTTCAGCAGTGGAAACCCACGATAACTGGACGCACGAGTGACTATCGCAGATAGTTACGTCAACTTTATCAATGATAATCAATATCTCTCATAATATCCATGGATTTTTTTTACATTAAATGCCTAAAAATATGCAACTTACACACAGAATGAAAGGTCTTCTAATTACTATAATCCGATTTCAAAAACAAATAAAAACTAAAGTAAGTCAGGAGTTGTCAACTTCAGCATTTAGGATTTAAAACTGGATTAGTGTCGCTAATATTTTTTTTATATTTTAGATCAACAAGAAGCCCATTTTTTGTTTCTTGAAATCAAGCGTACTTCTTTATTTGATTCCAGTAACGATGGTTATATTATAAATGATAATATTAATTTTATGTCACAAATTCAAGGTCAGTGTATAACAATCACGAAGACGATGAGTAAGCTCTGAGCATTGTACACACAAGCACACAGTAGCACACAAGTATTGTGTGTTATTGGTATAAAGCAAAAAACAAATATGGACAGGATCGTGCCAAATGGAAATTTGCGGCCTTTGCTTGTAGCGGACGTTTACATCATCTGACAAACTCGACACAAAAACGTGCTGCAGAAAAATCTTTCATTTCTCTCCGTGATATAGATTTAATGACTTTTGTGTTCGTACGTTTCTATTGAAATTTTCTTTTATCAACATTAATATTTTTTTGATAAACCCCTAAAGCCTAACACACTGTACAGTTAAAACGTACGAGTATAGGAAAAATTTCCACTGTGAGTTAAACTGCACAGTTTTCAGTTTTGCCTACACACCTTACAATTTTAACTGTACAGTTAACATTGAAGATTTTTAGCGGCGTTAATCGGGATAACATGTGGGAAGAAGGGAAGGAAGGATTGGTTGAAATGCTTCGTTTTGATACAGGCATCTTACACTAACAGAGTATCCTGGATGAGGGTAGTACCAGACCGAATATCGTGGCGATTTTTGGGCGAGGTCTATGCCAAACAGTGGGCGTCATATGGCTTAAGAGGGTGGTGATTTTGGAAATGAGACATTGCGAAGAATTTGCTCCACAATCAATCTTATTGGAACTTTATAAAACAAACAGAATGGCAAGAACAGGTAAAAGAGTCTTTTATCGGGAGCAAAAAATACTTCGGTCACAAACTCCAACCGATCAGTATTCATTTAAAGAGGAAATCTTACAGGTAAAGGCATCCGTTTGCTACCGAGCTGGCTTGAAAGTTATTTGCAAAAAAAACATACAACCAGATTGCTGGAAATACTTCGATTGTGATAAAATTGAAAAATCGTATTATGTATCATTGGAATTTAAATATTGTCAGGAATAAACTAAAATATTTGTTGTAAAATACTTAACGTCGCAGATTCAACTATTTAATTAATACAATTATCACTAATTAAGATAATCGAAGAGCGATATTGCTTGATCAGCTTAACAGCCGGATTAAAATCCGAGCGGCTGGTTCTAATTTGTGAACAAATGGAAGAATCCCACCTAAATTGTTATAATCTATAGCAATTGTCCGTGACCCGGCTTTTCTGCCAACAATACACAAGTTTCAGTTTGTGTAGAATTTAAACGTAGTCCACTGGCAGATTGTAATTGAGGCGTAATAGGAATTTACAGATAGCTTTAGGATTTACTACTGTATACCAATATTTCAAGTTATTGCTTCGATCCTATCAAAACCAATTTCTCTTTCAAAAGCCTCTCGTATAATCCGATCGTGTTTCATCAACTAAAATGCTTTCTGTGAGATGAAACACATAATTGAATAGCGCCATTGCTTTAACAAGCATACCTTAAATTATTCTTAAGAATAATTAAGACAATTTTTCTGGGAGCAGTATTCTAGGACGTAACAATGGTACTTGTATCGGAGACAGACTGGTAAAAAAGGACCAAAGTCCCGAAACAAATTCTACGGATTCGGTCTTATAAGAATAACAGTTGTCTACGTCTAGCTCGGGACTTTGATGCTCTAAGGAGGCATGTTATTTGTCTAGCTAGTCACACTACTAATGCTACTTATACAGTCTTAAAAATATTCTGCTGTTGTCAGTAAATAAAGAAGTTTTTTTTTTTTATTTAAGCTTAAAGAAGGGGTCAACGAGCGGCGGAAACGCCAAGGTGATCAACGACGCCCATGTACATCCGCAACACCTGGAGAAATTTTCTCCCCTCATTACATTCCTTGTTAATCCATAAATTTAAAAAATCTAATAAAATCAAAAAATGCTTAGATCTAATGTTCTTGGCCACATTAGTCAGCTAAACCGTAGTATTATAAGATATGTGAAAAACCAATCCAAGGTTTCCGAGGAATCCTCGAGTTAAGTTAGTTTTGAAGAGGTTTAAACTAGGCTTGCTTTGCGCTCAACTACCTGAAATCCCTGGAAACTGCGGATACATTTTTATAAAGAACGTACGGCATAGAAAATTAAAACGCATAAAAATATTTTTTTCAACCTGAAATAAAATTGAAAAATATATACGAATGATGGAATGTTGTATCAAATTAGAATTATTGACTTAAACAATTTTATGGAATTATAAGAACGAAATATTTTATTGACATTTTTTTTAAATGTATCGTGGAAAAAACGGGGCGATGTTACAAAACTAGACGAAATAATGAGAATTAGGAGACTTAAATTCTGTGGTCCAATATTGATCCGTGTTTCGACCACGTGATTCTCATTTTCGTACGGATTAATGAAATTAGGTACATTGGAAGTACACCTTAAAATAATGTGATAACTGTATAGAAATTTTAAGACATTAATTGAAACGATAATATTTACCGTCCAAATTCATTTCGGCAAAATCATTTAAAATATAATTGTTAAAAGATTTTATCGTAAAAAACGAAAATACAAACAGTTTTTGGAAAAAGTGAGTAAAACCCTGAAAATAAAAAAAAACCTTTTATTTTTAATTCAAATCAAGGTAAGATTTGTCCGTAAAAAGTTTAATAATCGTCACTATGTTATTAAGGTTAATTAAAAAAACATATAATAAAACAAATATTATTCATATACAATAGCATAACCATTATAATATTCCCCGTTTAAAAATATAACATTTATGAATAAAAATGTTCGTACAGGTACAACGTTTTAAAAGTTGTAGCGTAAACTTTGTAAAATAAAGTTTGTTTTCAACGTTGAACTATGTAAAGCGGTGTTACCGCGGCAATTTCAAAATAGTACTCGACCAGTTATTACAAAAAGTAAGAAACTGAACACTTGTGTGTATACAAACTCGGTTAATAAGATAAACCGTAAATCCGAACTTCTTAAAACATTGCTAGGATATTTTTAGTTGTGGCGTAAGCACGTTCTAGCGTAGTAAAACGCGCGGTGTTGTACAGCGCACAGCGGCAAGTCCTCTACTTTTTCGGTAGGGAAATTTAAGAAAACTTCTTGGGTATTGTCAAGTTTCAACAGGGGTTAAGAAGATCGTCGGTTTAGGTTGAAGATTCGTTGAAAATCGACCGCGAAGTTTCACGCAAGCGCGACGCCTCCCTACATTCAAGTCTCGAAATTGTTAAACAATATAATGCGCCAGCTTGTTCGCTTCCAGTGCATGCCATAGTGGTAGAGTCACCGCGCAGCGTCACTTACCTGTTGCCAGTAGTCCTCAAGGGACAGCTTCCATTCGAAATAGCCGGTGTCCGTTACGTCTTGCAACTCGCGGAATAGGTTACCGCTCGGAAGAACATCCATCGTGCTTACATGTGACGCCGAACGAATTTTTAGCACAACTCACGTAAACCCCCCACGGCAGAACGCGCACGACTGGTTTGCCCGCGTCTCGCGCCGGCATCCCCCCAACCCGCGCCTGCCCCGCGAATATCCTCTTGCGTAGACTAGAAACAAACAGAGACAATGCGTATAGCTTTCTCTTTTTTCGTCCTTAAGGATAACCGATAAAGCCATGGAATTTTAATAGGGGGCTACTGAGATTAACGTATATTATTTTATTTAATTTTTTGTACTATTTTTTTTATGTCATTTTTTAACATATTTTATATTAATGCATATATTTACACTAGAGCTATGCATTGGAGCATAGTTTCATATTGGGGCATAAATGTGTGCAATAAAATTATAGATTTTGATATATGTATACGCACTAAAAACTGAAATTTAAATGCACAAATTACATTTCGTGTGTATGGGTATCTTACTTATTTTTCGTAAATTTGTTTCTTTCTACTACCTTGAATTCGATAAATAAATACAAAACAGATATATCAACAACAATAGGCATCTTAAAACGACCGTTACGTCAGACGTAGTAAACACGTGTTAGATAATAAAACAACAAAACGTAAACAAAAGGAAGTACACTGTTGCAGTTAAAAAAAAAACAAGGTAAATTAACCAAAGTCTAAAAATTTTCGACCTTATAAAGAGTTTACACTGTATTTGGAAACCCCAAAACATAAGCAGAATTCCTTTCAAATTATATGAAATGTTAATATTTAATTACCAATGGCCACGCGATACAAAAGAGTATTAATTTAGAACTTTAAAAGTAAATTTAAACGCCTTACAGAAGCCACCAGGAAGACCTTAATATAAATTTGCCTTCAGCAATTTACGTCAGGTAATTACTTAGAAGGAACACATTATAAACACGCTTATTAGCTTTGTCTGTTTTCTCACATTTTGAAACATCTGTTATGTTTAAAAAATACACTAATTAAGCATCGACAATTTCATAATTTTTTTTCATGTCCTGGCTGGATCACCATGATAACTGTAAAAAACACCCTTGAAGTTGTGGTGCATTTTTTAATTCCTTAAGTTATCGGAATTGATATGTAATATACTTATTTCTATTTCGGGTTCATATTAAAACAAAAATTGATATCTGATTTTGGGCACGTAGTCCATTGTAAAATTTGCCTTATCTCTTATTTTATTAATATCTGTTATGGCTTATCGCATGATTGTATATATTTTTAATATCATTAATAAATAACGTAACTGTTTTTTTTTATACAAAAATGTTTATGAGTAAAAAACATAGCAAACAATCGAACAAAGTCAAATATTTTTTTAAGAAATTTAATAAAAGAACTAACTTAATAACAACGAACTTAAGGAATAATAACGTAGACGCTAGATACAAATTATTCAAATATTTTTTCAGAAAAATACGACTCATATAAAATTTTGCTTTATTATGCCAAGAAAACTAAGCAACAAAACATTTAAGTTTAGCTTTTATTAATATTCTTAAACAGAAAATTATTAATAATATTATTATTCAATCTCTGAAGGTTAATTATTCTGAGCAAAATACTACTCCCGCGCAACGCAGGCATGTGGACGGAGCCCGTTACGCGCGTGCGCAACAACCCGTGACCGCTCCATTCATACTCACGCAGCAATAAACAGTACTCATTGCATAGATATTTGGTTATATGAAAACGATTCAATCAACCGTAAAGCAGTCGAAAAAGATATGCTATTTAAGGTATCCTAACCACCAAAATTATTACGATTATATGTCTTGTATACGTAACCTATATTTTTCAAATTATGACACCATTTCCTTTTTTTTTCATATATATCTTAATATACAATATAATACTTCTAACAATAATTACAAATATAACATATGATAAGGTTTGCCATTTTTTTATTTTACTGTGAAAATTAGTACGAAGTGTTGTATTTCGTAAATTATAAGTATTTGCTTAGAGACAACAAAGCTATTTTTACACATGGTTTTGCCCGCGCGGCATTAAAAAGTGGTATCCTATGTGTTCTTCCAGACCATGTTCTACATCTGTACCAAATTTCATCAACATCGGTTGAGCCGTTCTGGAGATACCTTCTAAGAAATATTTATCCATCTAAACTTTCGCATTTATACTATAACTACGATATTGCTCGCTACTAAATGATACTATTGTTATATCTTTATGTTTACAGTCAACCTTGAACTTGTCTTACTCAAATTGTTTACACAATAGTGAAAATATTATTCCAGTAAACACATGTGTTATTTAAGATAACAGGATTTATGTTAAAGATACTTGATAAGTAAGTTGAAAAATTAAAAAGTGTATTCATAAAATAATAATAATCATGAAATATATGATAAACAAAAAAGAATCGACTATGGAAATGATGAGTGTCGTAAGTAAAGACGTAGAGACGGACATTAGTAGAAAGGAAATATCTTACAGACCTTAGTAAAAGTAAGCATCATTTCTACCATTAGAGAATGTGACGAAAGAGATGACAAGATTGAAGAAGATGATATTGTCAAAAGTACAACTAATATTCTGTTGCTAGCTTTTGCCCACGACTCCGTCCGTGCGAAATTAAAGAAAAAATTAGTATCCATGTCTTCCTCCAGGTTATATTCAACACATATCCCAAATTTCAGCGACATTCGCATTAAGAAGTAAGATCGGATAGCTGACAAATTGTCGTCTATAAAGCTATGTTCTAAATTCTCGAAATTCAAATTTAAAATTAAAAAACCATGTGTCAGTAACTTTTAAACAAGCGCATTGAAGTTAACTAGTAGACTGAAATTACAAAGGCCATCCCAACTGTCGCATCTGCCCAAATTAGTCTTGCGGTAAGGTTAATTACGTTACAAGGCTAGTTGAGTTGTTTTTAGGTGTTCAACTAAATATGAATGTGGAATAAGAATTTCAAAACGCAAAACAATTAGGAATATTAGTAACCAACATATATTAACTTCAAGAACGCTATCAAAACTAGTTTAGTATTAGATATTTGTCGTATGGTTGACCCAATACTATACTTCCTATGTGTGTATACTACAGTAGTTGCTAACTACATACAGATTGTTCGCTCCCAAGTATTATATCATAACAAAACTATCTATCGTTGCCGTTGTCATGCTACTGTTTCTATTTTGTTATTCATAAACGGCATGTTTGAGTGAGTTATTCGGCTTTAGTATTTTAACATAACAAGGTCGAGCTTGTGTTTATTACATGACAGGTGTAATAGTGTCTTTAGTTTATTATTATTCATTATTTATGCGCGTTTAAAAGTGGATATGTGCGTTTTTTGGACAATTCTTACTGAAAATGGATTAGGTTTAGACACCACAAGGAGACCAAATGTACATACACATATTTTAAATAACCTTAAGATTGCGTTACTTAAACAACTATATAGTCCAACAAGGATTTCAGTGCCGGTCGGAGAAGGGCTATTGTCGCGTTTAGTTCTATCAAAAAATATGTGAAACCTACATAGAAATGACAAAAGGCAAAATAAGATGACAGCACAAAGAGGATTTTGTGACATTTTTTGACGATGACAAGGAGGCGCCGGTTCAGATAACCTTGTCGGTCCGTATTGTCACTACGCACCGGAACCGACGGAAATGCCGTCTGTCTGTCTGTCTGAACTGACAAAGTGTTTGGCTCTATCCTGTACCCTAAGCGCGGAACAAAATTGTTATTCCTGTTATTCAAATGGAAAAAACACGATCATAACAGTCACACAAGAAGTAGGTAATTTGTTGAATTACAGCAATTTTTTAATAATCATAAAGCCTATTGAATGTCATAATTAAAGTCTCAAAAAGACGTGCGGTTTGTAGTAAATGAATACTGGGAATAATTTAAGTTAGTTTATTGAAAACAGTTGATATTCGTTTCCATGGAATTCAGACTATGAATATTACATTTCATTGTGAAATGCTCCGAAATTAAAAGAAAAACAAAAATTAATTAAACCGCAAAATTGCAGATTGAACTTCCGACACGTTAAATTATAAGAGGGGGAATTCAATACAATTTTTATATGTAAAAATATATAATTTTATATCATTCACTGATGGATTTTGCAAAATCGTAATATGCCGGTCGACGCAGTGCTTCCATTTATTAGTACAAGCCTCTGTACGGCTGTAGTAATAATGAATGCTGCTCATTTATCAGAAGACAAAGAACATGTAGACGAAAGGTTTCATATATTTTTGATGGATGCTTGTGATGAATATGAGGAATATTTTAATCAACATTTAATTATAGTCTTAATAAACCAAGAAAAGCAGCGATTTACTTCTTCATTGAACTAAAGCTACAAATAACAGCTGTGGAATGAAAATCTAATAAAACGTTTAAATCTTTTCATACTTCGATAAAAGCTAAAAAAAATGAATTCCACTTAAAAACTCCGTTTCAACCATTTATATTCAAACTCTATAAAAAGTAAAACGCTCGGTATTTGAAAAAAAAGCTTGTATAGAGAGAATTGATTCTGTAAAAAGCATACGTTAGCGAGAGAGTGAAGAGCTGCGTTGTATAAAGCTAGGGCTTGCCGTGGAACGCTATCGTTTTAACGTAACTCGGAATAATTGAAAAAAGCGGATGGTAACACTCGATTTCTGTTCCTATAAATTCTTTACCGAGTTCTGACTCGGTCATCAATCAACCTGTAGTTGAACACAAGCCTCTGATATTTTTTTTCGCTAATATACTTTCGTTAGGGTTAATGTGTGTAACACATTGTGAAATCTTTCATTTACTTTACTTTTATACTATTTCTTTCTTACGAGCGATCGTCCGACACTCCTTCCGCACGGAATTACAAAAAAAAAACATAATGTGCATGCCAAATTTCAATGAATTCAGCCGTTCTAGAGATACCTTCAAACATTCATCATAAACATTCCCATTTATAATATTAGTAAGATTTTTAACAATTCAATAGACATTTTTACGGCGATCCTGCTAAGTCGTAAGACCTAATCTAGTTATAATTTTTAACAGAACTA